GCTCTTCCTCTTCCACTCAGCAGTACTTTGTCGCCCCCTCCTGGCCACGGGAGAGACCTCGTATGCAGCAGGGTAGGGGACCAGCTTCCCCTGCTTCCTTCTCACCACACACAGACACAGACACAGACAGTGCGGTAGTTCGGTGTCTGTAGTTCAGAAATTAATACATGAAAAACAAAACGTTGAAAACCTGGAACAACTAAATAAGATGTTGTTTCTAAGAAAGGTTTGGGTTCGAGTTTGACTGAAATGATCCAACACTATATTTATATTAATGTTTATATTTATATTTATGTTGATGTTGATGTTGATGTTGATGCTGATGCTGATGTTGATGCTGATGTTGATGCTGATGCTGATGCTGATGCTGCTGCTGATGATGCTGATGCTGATGCTGATGCTGCTGCTGATGATGCTGATGCTGATGCTGATGCTGCTGCTGATGATGCTGATGCTGATGCTGATGCTGATGATAATGTTGATGCTGATGCTGATGCTGATGCTGATGTTGATGCTGATGTTTATGCTGATGCTGATGCTGATGCTGATGTTGTTGTTGATGCTGATGTTGATGTTGATGCTGATGCTGCTGATGCTGATGTTGATGTTGATGTTGATGTTGATGCTGATGTTGATGCTGATGCTGATGCTGATGTTGTTGTTGATGCTGATGTTGATGTTGATGCTGATGCTCATGATGCTGATGCTGATGTTGATGTTGATGCTGTTGTTGATGTTGATGCTGATGCTGATGCTGCTGATGCTGATGTTGATGTTGATGCTGATGTTGATGCTGATGCTGATGCTGATGCTGTGTTCACCACAGACATCCCTGTGTTTCTACACAGTAAATGTAAATATGCCGTTGGTTTTTGGTTGTGTTGACTTCAATGTAGCTTAATCAGGTCCACCAGGAGGCGCTGTGCGGTTCTGCAGTAAGTTCCCGTGCTGTGTTGAAGGTGACTGTTCTCCCAGGAACAGAACAGTCTGAAGAACATCCAAGACAAACATCAGTCTTTTATTTTGACATTAAACCGCGGCTAAACAATAAAAATTCCATAGAAAAGAGACAAATACTTCATTAGTACTGTGGACATGAAGATGGTTAGAAGTACTGCAGTACAAGGACTAGAAAAACCTGCTCTGAGTACAAATATATAAACATTTACAGCGTGAGTCAGTCGCTGCAGCTGATTGTACTGCAGTACACTGTAGTAACAGTCACATATTTGAACTGCAAAACTGGTTCAAAGGAAGAAAGGATCGGTTCCTTAGAACTGATAACAGTCCCTCTCCATTCACTGAACTATTGGTCCCGTATCAACCTCCATGATGTTAGAACTGTTCTGCCAACATACACTCCTAGTGATGTCAATGAGCTACAGTGACTAACTGTGACGTAGAGTTGGGGACAAACTTCGTTAGCTTTAGCTAGGAAACATTACCGTCTATTCAAGCTAACGTCCCGTGTGTGTGTGTGGGGGGGGGCTGGGGGGGCTTGGGGGGCTGGACTTTAATCTCTGTGGTGTCGCACCATGTGGGGGTTAGGGGGGGGTCCCAGAGGAACCTGCTCTGTGGTGCTAAAGTCCTGGTTCCAGTGGGCTACATGAGTGACTCCAGGCTCTCTGTGACGTTGGTCTGACCCAGTGGTACCGACCCGTTGGTCTCTGGACTCTGCAGGGCCTTCTGGTCCTCCTGGCTGCTGACCAGACTCAGCACAGCCTGGTACAGGTAGACGTACTGCTCCTGAAAGAGGGGGGTGTGGGGNTCATTAAAAACCCCCGGCCTCATCAGGTTGGTCATCCGTGCCACCTGGTACACGTCCACCGCTCCATCCTCCTCCAGCTGACTGGACAAGGTGGTGAGAGCACAGAACAGCCCAGAGGGGGCGCCACCCAAACTACACACACATAAAACAAACAATAAAATGAATTAAAAACAAAGGCTGAACTGTACTGTACTGTACTGTACTGTGCTGTACTCACGGGTCGTGGACCACGGTGGGCGTGGTCGTGTGTCGGCTGTGTTCTCTGACCGTGTTGACCAAGTCAAAACTGTTCCTAATAGGGCTGTCTGGGTTTGGCCAGCAGGGGACGCTGTACTGCCTCACCTCCAGTGAGTTACTGTTCTGAATGAAGGCAGCAGAGAGACGCGGCGTGAGGACCATGATGACATCATCACCGTACAGTACGACTGTGTGTGTCACCGTTACCACTGGAGACTCCAGCAGGAAGTCCTGCACCAACAGTGTGTCATCATTGGACAGCGTCACAGGCTCCGCCCCCAAGAATCTCACTGTCAAACCCTCAAAGCTCATTGGTCGGTTTTCACTGGGCCAGAACTCCCAGAACCCTTCACTCTGAGAACAGGAAACACGTCAGAACATCTGGGTCCAATCATGGTCGCCGTGTGTGTGTGTGTGTGTGTGTGTGTGTGTGTGTGGTACTACCTGACTGTGTGTGTCCTGGAGGTAGACCACGGTGCAGCTCCTCTGTTCCCAGACCAGGGACCAGAGGTCGGCCACGGTGTCAGTCAGTGGAGTCTGACTGACGATGAACTGCTGACTGTGGTGAAATCCCTGTGGAAACGTCAACCACGTCAACAACATCAGCCACGTCAACAACATCAACCACGTCAACAACATCAACAACATCAACCACATCAACAACATCAACCACATAAACCACATCAACCACATCAACCACATCAACAACATCAACCACATAAACCACATCAACCACATCAACCACATCAACCACGTCACCCACGTCAACCACATCAACCACGTCAACCACGTCAACCACATCAACCACGTCAACCACGTCAACCACATCAACCACGTCAACCACGTCAACCACATCAACAACATCAACCACGTCAACAACATCAACAACATCAACCACATCAACAACATCAACCACATAAACCACATCAACCACATCAACCACATCAACCACATCAACAACATCAACCACATAAACCACATCAACCACATCAACCACATCAACCACATCAACAACATCAACCACATCAACAACATCAACCACGTCAACAACATCAACCACGTCAACAACATCAACAACATCAACCACATCAACAACATCAACCACATCAACAACATCAACCACGTCAACCACGTCAACCACATCAACCACATCAACCACATCAACAACATCAACCACATCAACCACATCAACCACATCAACAACATCAACCACGTCAACAACATCAACCACGTCAACAACATCAACCACGTCAACCACGTCAACCACGTCACACCGTCAGTACAGTGCTTCCTCTCCGTATTGTGATTCACTTTTCTCTGCCTCAGTTCATCACAGATTTTTTTTGTAAAAATGTTTAATTTTTAAAAATGTTCTCGACTCTACTTCACAGTTTTTCCCATTTCTCGGTGGGTCTTTGAACGCAACGACCACAACAGGAGAGGGACCAGTGTACACCCAAGTACTGACACGTATCGTCCCGTCGCCCCTGTATCATGATACGCATGGTATCACCAGTTCCTAGTCCTAGTCCTGGTCCTAGTCCTAGTCCTAGTCCTAGGACTAGTCCTGGTCCTAGTCCTAGTCCTAGTCCTAGTCCTTGACTACAGTCTAATCTTAGCTGAGAATCGGTTCCACTTCTGTTACCGTGACGTAGGAGGCGTTGACGTATCCACTGGGGTTGGACGTTGAAGCCGTCAGGCTGACCCTTGACCTCTCCACTGTACACAGAACAGACAACCGTGTCTACACCGACAACCAACAACAGTCAGACGGCTGACGACTGTACGTTACCCACCAGGCATCAGGGCTCTGGCTCTGTTCCTGTCGGCGTTGCCGTGGGCGAGGGCGCTGCTGTAGTCCGAGTGTCAGCCCTGACGCTGACTGACCAGCTGAAAAATAGTTCCTGGTACTCTGTCAGACACCGTACAGAACATTTGAAGAAGGAGAAAACTGTTGACGGTACCTTGAACTGTTTGTCCATGCGGGTCCTGGCCGACACCCCCGGGATCAGGAGGTCAGACACGTAAGAGTGGAGAAGGTCAGAGGTCACCGTGGTGTCGCGGCTCAGGATGGCCTCCACCAGGACATCGTGTATGAAGACGTACTGCTCCTACAGGCCGGGAGCAGAGACACAGTCAGCTCTGAGACACAGCCACCAGGGGGTGTGGTTGAGTCGTTGGACGTACTTCCGTCTGGACCAGAAAGTTCCTCTGAGTTCTGACGTGTTTCAGAAACCCCAGAACGTCCACGGTCCCCTGGTCCTGGATCTGCTGCAGCATGCTGTCGATGACCATGTAGGTTCCTGTTCTTCCTACACCGGCACTTCAACGAGGAGAACCAAGAGTTCTATGACAACAGTCCAGTACCAGCGGTACCAGAGGTGACCAGAGAAATCTCCAATTGTCCGTACCTGCAGTGAACAAGAACCGGTCCCATCTGTGGGCTGCGGGCCTGGGACGAAGCTCTGATGAAGGACAGAACCGGCAGGGTGTACTCAGGTACTCCCATGTCCGGCCACTGGGTGTAGTGATACTGCAGGACCGTGTGTTCTGTCTTCTTGAGAGCCCCCTGGTGGAGCAGAGGACCAGGACTGGATCAGAACCACAACAGTTCCATAACTGTACGTTTGGGGACAACGTGTCCTCACTGGGTTAGACTTAGACTCACCCCTGACCCTCCCCCGCCTCCCCCATCTCTCTCCTTGTGTGTGTGTGTACCTTTGTTCTGTCTCTGATGGTGAACTTTCTCAGTGTATAATAAGCCAGGGACCGGCTGGTCCTCAGTGTCACCTGGTATGGACCATATTCCTCCATGTTCTCCTCTGGCCAGTACTGGTCACATTTGGTCTGGAGAACATCAGAGAGGACAGGGAGGAGAGGTCAGCAGGTCAGCAGGTCAATAGGTCCAGGTCAGCAGGTCCAGGTCAGTAGGTCCAGGTCAGTAGGTCCAGGTCAGTAGGTCAACTTCTCTTCTGCTCTTTTCTGTTGTTGTTAGTGTTGTTGTGATAGAGTGACCTCTCATGACCTCTCATGACCTCTCATGACCTCTCACCCGTCCTTTCTCTTTGAGGTTAGTGATCATGACGACAACGCCGACGTTCTGCTGCCAGATCATCCTCCAGAAGTCTTCTCTACTGGCTCTGAGTGGACCCTGAGCTGCGATATAAGCTCTAGTCCGCTGGTAACCCTGTAGATCGAGAACATCGTTACAGTCCTGTTGTAACACTGTCCTGTTGTAACAGTGTCCTGTTGTAACATTGTCCTGTTGTAACACAGTCCTGTTGTAACAGTCCTGTTGTAACACCGTCCTGTTGTAACAGTTGTAACAGTCCAGCTGTAACAGTCCTGTTGTAACAGTGTCCTGTTGTAACAGTCCTGTTGTAACAGTCCTGTTGTAACACAGTCCTGTTGTAACACCGTCTTGTTGTAACAGAGTCCTGTTGTAACAGTCCCGTTGTAACCCTGTCCTGTTGTAACAGTGTCCTGTTGTAACAGTCCTGTTGTAACCCTGTCCTGTTGTAACACAGTCCTGTTGTAACACAGTCCTGTTGTAACACCGTCCTGTTGTAACAGTCCTGTTGTAACAGTGTCCTGTTGTAACACAGTCCTGTTGTAACAGTGTCCTGTTGTAACAGTGTCCTGTTGTAACAGTGTCCTGTTGTAACAGTGTCCTGTTGTAACACAGTCCTGTTGTAACAGTCCCGTTGTAACCCTGTCCTGTTGTAACAGTGTCCTGTTGTAACAGTGTCCTGTTGTAACAGTGTCCTGTTGTAACACAGTCCTGTTGTAACAGTCCTGTTGTAACCCTGTCCTGTTGTTACACAGTCCTGTTGTAACACAGTCCTGTTGTAACAGTGTCCTGTTGTAACAGTCCCGTTGTAACACAGTCCTGTTGTAACAGTGTCCTGTTGTAACACAGTCCTGTTGTAACACCGTCCTGTTGTAACAGTCCTGTTGTAACCCTGTCCTGTTGTAACACAGTCCTGTTGTAACACAGTCCTGTTGAAACAGTCCTGTTGTAACACCGTCCTGTTGTAACAGTCCTGTTGTAACCCTGTCCTGTTGTTACACAGTCCTGTTGTAACACAGTCCTGTTGTAACAGTGTCCTGTTGTAACACAGTCCTGTTGTAACACAGTCCTGTTGAAACAGTCCTGTTGTAACACCGTCCTGTTGTCACAGTCCTGTTGTAACCCTGTCCTGTTGTTACACAGTCCTGTTGTAACACAGTCCTGTTGAAACAGTCCTGTTGTAACACCGTCCTGTTGTCACAGTCCTGTTGTAACCCTGTCCTGTTGTAACACAGTCCTGTTGTAACAGTCCTGTTGTAACCCTGTCCTGTTGTAACACAGTCCTGTTGTAACACAGTCCTGTTGTAACAGTCCTGTTGTAACAGTCCTGTTCTAACAGTCTCTGTTGTAACAGTCCTGTTGTAACAGTCCTGTTGTAACACAGTCCTGTTGTAACAGTCCCATTGTAACAGTGTCCTGTTGTAACAGTCCAGCTGTACTCACGTCAACAAAGTTAGCGTTGATGTAGTCTCCACCTTCTCGGTCTGAACTGTTGGAAAGTTTAACTCTGCTGTGATCGTCTGAAACAGAACACAGGTCAGTGTCACTGGGGCCACGTGCACACGTACACGTGCACAGGTACACGTGCACCTGTGCACGTGCACATGTACACGTGCACAGGTACACGTGCACAGGTGCACACAGCTGTGACCGTGGGTGACCTACAGGCCAGGATGTTGATGTATCTGTTCTTGCTCTTGTTGTCAGGATGGTTGGACGTGTCAGTGGTGATGTTCATGTCCACAGTACAGACCTGAACCTCCTGTGGAGAAACACCAGGGGGCGCCATTTAGTCCATAGACTAACCAGTTCATAATAAACATGACTCCACTGAGGTCAACGTCCTGTAACATCACGCTTGTCTTTTAATGCAGAACACTCGGTCTCCAGGTGGTGGCGCAGTTTTGAAGAGCGCGGGCTCGGTGCGAGGGAACAACCTGTGGAGAATTCTTCTTCACTGAGGACAACGGTGTTGGGGGAGGACATTTGGACGGGGGACAAAGTGACAGAGAAGGAGTCAGTGTGGGCTGTGACCTGTGGTGTGGGCTGTGACCTGTGGCCTGTGGTGTGGGCTGTGACGTGAGGTGTGGGGCGTGACCTGTGGCGTGGGCTGTGACCTGCGGTGTGGGCTGTGACCTGTGGTGTGGGCTGTGACCTATGGTGTGGGCTGTGACCTGTGGTGTGGGCTGTGACCTATGGTGTGGGCTGTGACCTGCGGTGTGGGCTGTGACCTGGGGTGTGGGCTGTGACCTGAGGTGTAGGCTGTGACCTGTGGTGTGGGCTGTGACGTGAGGTGTGGGGCGTGACCTGTGGCGTGGGCTGTGACCTGGGGTGTGGGCTGTGACCTGCTCAGAGTCAAGACACACACACACACGTTTGTCTGTTACTTTAACACAGGGGGCGCTGGTGTCGTCTTCATAGACCTAGGAACAAATCTGAGGCAGGTAAGAAGAACTGGACTGTTCTTCTATAGTCCTGACCTCTGACCCTGACCTCTGACCCTTCAGGCCTTTTCATGTCAACATGAATCAGTACCGACTGTACCTGGAACTCTTTGGAGAAGGCGTTCCTGTCGTGCAGCTCTCTGACGTGCTTCACAAACTGCTTCATGGTCATCGGTTCCGGAGCGTCTACGACACAGGAACAGGAAGGAACCACGACACATTAACACCATATAAGGTCACAGCCCGGTCAGTGAGTGTGTGTGTGTGTGTATGTGTGTCACCTGTCCCCAGCAGCACAGGTGTGGATGGAACAGACAAGACCTTTGGTGACGACGTGTTCTCCTCTGGGTCCAAATGAACCTGGAAACAGTTCCTGAGACAGAACTCATCAGATCAGAGCTGGAAACAAGAACAAGTGTGTGTCTGTGTGTGTCTGTGTGTGTGTGTGTGTGTGTGTGTGTACCTCCAGTACACCAGTATGCCCACCAGGGACAGCAGACAGACGACAGTCAAAGTGGAGACAACAGCCAGAGGAACGTCCGTCCTCTCTCCCCCCTGCACCCCCCCTGCCACCAGCCCCACCCTGGTATCATGGCTGCTGTTGCTGCCCTCTGGAGGAGAAAGGAAGTAAAGGTCAGTGTTTCTGTTGGAGCGCCGGTCCCTGAATATAAACAAAGTTTACATGTATTTCTATCTGAACACTGGTGTTAGTACTGGTACTAGCACTGGTACTAGCACTAGTACTGATGACCCCCCCTCCTCTGTCATCAGGTACATCTAGGGGTCTGTGCCCCCTCATTTGAGAACCACTGGTTAAATAAGACTGTGTTTTGGTGTTGACTTACCACTGAACACGGCCTGCGTCGTATGCATCATCCCCCTGAGGGGGGGGGGAGGGGTGAGGCTGCTGCTGGTTGGAGGGGAGCTGACCCTGACGGGGTCCTCTGTCCCGGGGTCAGGGGGGGGCACAGAGATGTGCTCCATGTCTCTACCTGTGTTACAAATATACAGCTGTCAAAACACCCCATGATAGACAGTAGGATGGAGCGCCATCATGTGGCCAACAAGAGTATAAAAATACACAGATGTGTCCGTGAACCTCAGGTTTGGACCCTCTCACTCTTTGATCAAACATTGTCTACCACTGTAAAAGCAGTCCAGCAGGTGGCAGCATTGCAACTCACAAGACACAGATCTGCTGCTAAAGGTCTGACCTGCTGCGACCCCAGCAGAGGAGGGTGTGGCTGGAGGGGGGGTCGTTCCCAGAGGGGGGGTCGTTCCCAGAGGGGAGGTGGCGCCCGGGGGGTGGGTGGTGACGTGTGGGGGGGGCGCGTCCTGAGGCGAC